TTCACAACCCGGCCCTTCGTAAGAGCCATGGGAACTGTGCAGCAGGAGCTGGAGCATCAGTGGCCAGCATTTGAGGAAGCATCTCTACAGTGAGTGCCCACTACCAGCTGTTTGCCCGCCCTGTATCAGCAGCACGGAGTCCGGTGTGTCCGTTAGCTAAGGTACAGCCACCTTCCAGGCAGGTGAAGAAACACGAGACTTGCACGAATCGTCAAAGCTTTGCTCCACGTGGCACAAGGTAGGTTAGAGTTTCGCTCCTTTAGTCCCTTGTGGCCCCTATGCCTAGCCGAGAAGAGCTAGCACTTCAAAAGCAAGCAGAGAATGAGCTCCAGAAACCAGTTAGGATTTAGGCTGTTCATTTTCCCTCATGCTGGTGGTTACCATTCTAACGTTTCCTTAATGCAGAGCTGGACACACACATGCACAACCCTCTAGGGTTTGTCTACACTTGTTCCGCAGCCCAAAAAATAGGTTAGCTGTTGCCAACAATTCCTCAGGTCCTGCCTGCACTACCAACACTACAAACAGCATCGAAGGCTGGCAGCAGCCAAGCTGATTACAAACCCGCATAGCAGAGGCCTACAGTGCTAGAAGCAGCCATGGTGGCAACACACTACGCAATCCAGATCAGCTCTTATACCACCCTGTCACCACAGCATCCAAGCACCTTCCAGAAGTGTATGAAGGGCTAGTCTACACGAGAAGCGCTGTGTGCGGCTGTAGTGCGTCGGGGAGGACGATGCTGATGGGCGAGAGTTTGTCAGTATAATAATCCCACCTCCATGAGGGGGGGTAGCTATCTGGGTGGGAGCTCTGACCCATAGTGCTGTCCACGCTGACCCCTAGATCTATGCAACTTGTTGCGCAAGGGGTGTCACATCTGAGTGACATAAGTTATATGGAAGCGGCAGTGTAGAGTTGGCCTCAGTGACATGACTTACTCCTGTCACATGCTATACATTCTCATCTCTTCCCAGGAGGCTCTCAACACTGCTAACCACCACCAGTGCTGGCAACAGGAAATGCAGCAGGGCAGGCAAGGCCCAAAGATGAAGACCAATGGTATGTTGACACTTGAAATGCTGCAGCACTTTGGAATAGCTGCTTTCTACCGCCATAGGAGGGGCTCTTCTGTTGCAGTAGTTCAGGAGTTGCCAACCTATGACTCCAGAGCCACATGTGGCTCTTCAGAAGTGAATAGGCAGCTCCTTGCATAGGTACCAAATCCAGGGCTGGCGCTACAGGTGCCAACGTTCCACTGGGCTGGAGGGAGCTCACTGTTCAACCCCAAGCTCTGTCCTAGGCGCTGTCCCCTCCACCCTGCCTCCCTAGGAACCTGCCACTTCCCACCCTGACTTACCCCTGCTCCCCCCTCCCCAGTGTCTCCCACAGAGAGCACTGATCCCAGTGGGCAAGAGGAAAAGGAGACAGGGACACTGACCAGTGGGTGGGATGTGCTGAGAGTGGTGGTGGGGATATGAGCAGGGCTGGGGACATACAACTGTTGCTCTTTGGCAAGGTGCGTTGGTAAATTCTGGCTCCTTTTCAGGTTTAGGTTGGCCACCCCTGCTGTAGTTAATCCACCTTCTAGAGGTGGTAGATGGGTTGATAAACCCATCAGCATAGTGTGGTTCAAAACTCTGATCTCACTGGCATAGCTCTGTGCCTCAGGGGCATGCCCAGTCAGCTTTCAGTGTAGACCAGCCCTATGGCTCTTCACAAGAAAGAAGAGAAGAGATCTAGGGGAAGGATGAGCTTCTCAAAGGCCTGACACCTCTCAAGTCTTCCTATCAGTGGCCAGTTAACTGGCATCAAGTCTGATGTACCTACCCCCTCTAGCTGTTGAAGAGAAAAAAGCAGCTCCCCTGCCTTCTACTCCAGAGCCACCTTATAGCAAATCCCCTCTAGAACTGCAGTTTTATCGCTAAAGAGTCTAGTGTCTGACTGTTGCTCAGAACGCCATATGCTACTCATGGAGGCAGAGCATTTGTACTGGGACCCACATATTAACCCTCACCCCCACCCCACATAGCTCAGTAAGAGACCAGCTTTGTCAATTTCACACTGCTGCTTGGGAAAGCTCTGGGCAGCAGAGGCACTGACACTGGTCTACCAGCAGCCTAAGGTCACATTAGGGAGCATCTTTGCAGTCAAAGCTGGCATGTCACTTTAAGGGACCCTCTTTCTGTAGCAGCTGGCATTAACATAATACACAAAGAAAAGGCATCCCACTCACTGTCTTATTTCAACTGTGTCCTGAACAAGCCTTTTTAGGCCTGCAACCTACTCACTCTGCTCCCTTCAAGGCCAGTCTATTTAATTCTCCTTGTGTACTAGCAGACCTGTTTAGCTGCCACCCCCAGGAATTCCGGGTACTTTACATTTTCAAAGCACAGCACCAGTTATGTTTTGCCACTAGCTGTTAGCGAAAGCAAAGAAACTTCCAAAGTTAAGATTTCATCCGTTGATTTTACTCTAAGCATTGTTTTCCAAACAATTTCTTACAGAAAAAGCCATGCACATGGCGCATCTGGTCCCTAGGAATCTATCACTTGTTTGTGCAAATCTGGCTTTTAGGAGCCAGGCTGTCGTAAGAGACATGTTTTGCTAGTTACCACTGTGTTTATATTTGATTAAGAGGTGATAAAGTTAAGCTCTGACAGATGCAGCTTTTGTATTTTCCTATTAAAAAAGAGTAGTTAACTTAAAGGTGACAATTTTAAGAAGTCGATCTTGTGCCCTTTGCTTCTTTGAGGGGGAAGGCATCCTAGGTCAGTTTCTCTCAACTTTTTTTTTAAAGAAAGTACCTCTTTTAAAAAAAATTATAAGTGACCCCAGTATCTAGTTTTCAGGCACACCATTTCTCTCTACCATTGCAACACATTTGTTTAAACAACTTAATCATAATCAGGCGATGAAATGTTTGGGTGTAAGTAGTACAAAAATAATAAAGCACTGTAACACACAAAAATTCAGTTCTCTTCAAATGTCAGTTGTGTTGACATATTCCCAAGACTTCTCTCGAATACCCCTAAGGGTACTCGTACCATGGGTTGAGAAACACTGCCCCAGGTTTTTCCTTGGAAATACCAACTTTGGTCTTCCCTGTTGGGGAACTTGCTGGGACTCGTCATGTGTTTACATGTATGCACACATACATAAGTAGTTCACACACTTCAAGTGGGTGTAAAGGGTCTAGAATTTTTAAGACTCCATTTCTCCAAATCATTAGTTCATTGAATTTTGACCTGTTAGCAAAAGAACACTGGAATAGGGAATTAAAAAACCCTTTCCTTGGTTCAACTTTTGTTCTTGGCTTTTGAGATATTATTAAACTAGTTCCATACTGGACAGGACCTAGATGCCAAATACAGGATGCTTAAAAAAGGGACAAAAGAGAAACCACAAGGCTAGTACCCTCTACTACTGCATGTTTCCACCAGCATCCAAGAGAGATTTAATGCAACCATCACAAAAAAATGAGAAATAAATTAAGCAATACTTCCACAAAGGTGAGGAGGTCTAAGTGCACTCAGCAACCCCTCTGCCTTTCATCCTACACCTACATCCTATTCTGGAAATAGTCTTAAGTATGGCTAGAAAACTCTTGACTTCTACAGGCACTAAAAGTGCCAGCAATACAGGGCTCTTGGACCATCCATGCCAGGGGCTCTCAGTTTTTCTGAGCCAAGCCCCCAATACCATAAAGGCTCCACAGTCCAGCTGAGCCACAATTGGTTTTCTGCATGTGAAAGTCTGGGCCAACATTAGGGGATGGCAAGCAGGACAACCGTGTGGGGCTGCATGCCACAGGAGTCCAGCAAAGCTACATTGCTCAGGTTTCAGCTCTCTGCCCAGGGCTGTAGCAAATTTAACACTGGCCATGCTCAGTGGACCCCTCCACCCCTGAAAACTGCTCATGGCCCCATGTCCTGTGAGCCAGTGCCCCAGGCAGGTTATGTTGCAAAGAGCACAGGTGCCCAAAGGTAGAAGGGCACACAAGAGCAAGAAGGAAACACTAGCATTCCTTTGCTTTCTGAAACCCAGCTGTTCACTAGAAGGTACTGCACCTGCAGTGAATCATAAGAGAAGACCAGTAAGCATTAGTGGTTTCCCCATCTTTTTACAAGACAAAAGGAAAGCATTTGGCATGAAGTTTTAGATTGCCAGATTTAATCCTTGCTTGTGTAATTTTAATACCTTGTATATTGAGCCATTGAGAGCATTTCCAGAAGATATAAGCTAGTGGGGCACATATTGAAACAGTAAATAAAATGAAGAGTGATCCCAGGAAGCCAAAGTAGTATCCACTCCGCCAGCTCTCCTTACACTGCACTTCGGTTTGGTGGCTACCTACAAGCGTATCATGTGTCTTCCTTGAGGAGATGACATTTTAACTCACTTCTCACATAGACCTAGAATGAATTACTGATGTGAATGTGTAGCTAATGCTCATAAAACCCCTGACAGGTCATTTAAAAAAAAAAAGCAGCCTACTTTACAATAGGGAACATTGCTTACTCCAAGCACTACCCTCCCTAGGAAATTCCCTTTGACAGCCTTGCATCATTACATTGTGTTGAAAACAGTTCACAGCTGTCAGGAGTGCAACAAAACTCCCATCATATCACAAAATGTGATGAAACATGCCACCAATGTGTAACCAAAACAAAAAACGAATGTATCTATTGTTAAACAGGCCAAGCCACATGTTTTTTGCCAAAAACTCTTAATCAGTTATGGCAGGATTCCTCCAGGCTTTTCCCCAGTGTCCTAGTGAGGTTTCAATTTCTCTGACTACGTGTATTAAGAATTAGGGATATTTTTGTTGTGCAAGACATAATGAAAGAATAAAGACTTCTCCCAACCTCGTGTTTCTCAACCAGTGATACGAGTACCCGTCAGGAGAAAACTGATTTTGTTCTTAAGGGCTCAGGGACAGGCCCCCGGGCTTGGCCCCGCCCGGGGGCTCAGGGACAGGCCCCCGGCCCCCCCCAACCCCGCCCGGGGGCTCAGGGACAGGCCCCC